CTCTTTTGATCCTACCATCAAAACAGCTTTTCTGAGGCTAACCAAGCCCTTCTCACTTTAAATCTGTTTAATAACAGAAGTAAATGAACCAAGATAATTGGATTTGAAGTAAAAAGTTGTCATTTACATGTATTCTGTTTGATTTATTTTTTTTCATCTTCCTTTTCCTTTTTGCACTTTTGGGCACATAAAGAAAAATATTTATATTTAAAGAAAAACCAAAAAACCCACCAGAAAACTCCAAACCCCAACATCACTCAAGCATAAACTAAACAAGTAATGAAATTACTTATCTTATGAAGAACTTTGAATATTAATTTTAAAATCAGGCCATGAATATTACTGAAGGAATCACCATCCTCAATCGGTAAAGCATTGGTTAATGATCATCATCTCATTTCTGGATCTTTATGTATCAAAGTTTGCCTTGCTCAGTTGTTAAAATTTCTCGGATTGTTGGGTTTAGGTGGGGGTTTTCTGGGATGGTTGGTTGGTCCCTTGGTTTGGGTTGGTTGGTTGGTTGGTTTGGTTTTTTTGAGCTGAGGAACTGGAGACTATTCATTTTACCAGTCAGGTTGGTTCTGTATTTTCAAAATTTCAGTGCAGCAAACTGCTTATTTGGGATTCTTGGTTCCTTCCAGGCTGTGACACCACCTTGTCAGGCTGCACTCAGTGAGGTCTCTTGCATAAGTGTTAGATTCTTTTTTCCTTTCTGGGCCCTCTCCTTAGGTAACATTGTACTCTCATGCAGGATTGTTCTTCTTGGCTTGACTTGGGTGTTGTTATGCCAAGAGGCATGTTTCCTTAAGGCCTTGCTAATAAGGTGTGTGATGGGCAGGTACTGGGTGCCAAGTTCTTGGTCCCTCAAGTTCTGACCCTCCTTTAATCTTGGAATCATGCCATTTGATGTTGCAGTGGTGTCACTGGCAGGCAGTGTAATGTGAGAAGGTGACATACGAACAGTCTTCTCTCTGGGAAGGTTTCCTTGTAGCAAACTTCTCTTGTGTCTGTTTTCCTTAGGCAGGTTACAGTTACAGAGGGAGCAGCTCAGAAGGAACATTGAACCTTACTGAACAGCAGTCTGAACAGCTACATTTTATGGAAATTAATCTGAGAAGGACCATGGCCACTGTCAACAAGCTTAACTTAAACTGACCTGCTAAACTTCTTCAAACCTAATGTTCCTTTACCAAGGGTAAGACACACACAGGTGGACAGCTGCCTGTGACAGAGCAGAGAGCTGGAGTGCAACTTCTCTTCCATCTGTGCCTCTGTTCCAGAAGGCACTTAAGAAAAATATAGTTCTATAAAGCTCATCTTGCTCTGTTACTGAGAACAGGATCACTTATTCTGAATTTCCAGATGTTGTTTTGGCAGTGTGACAGCCATGCTCAGCTACCAGAATTCCTTGGGTTTCTTTCTGACAGACTTCTGTCTCCAAAACAATGTTTTCCATGCTAATAGCCTGGACAATGGTCAAAGGTTTTCCTAGCAGAGCTGGCTGAAAAGAATGCAGACTATTTAAAACTCCATCTGAGATCATTTGCCACTTTGACATTCTCCTGTACATGGATTATTTTTTTAACCAAATGGGAAGTGAACTTATAAATTTCTGGAGTGTGAGGTTGTGTTTGCTTACGCTGTGAGTTCGTGAAACTGTCATTTCTCTGAATAGGAGGAATTCTTGCCTGCAGAATGAACATTGGCTCCCAGCAGTCTTTTAAATACCTCTTTCAGCCCCTTTTATGGAAGGTTGTCCTATCTTAAGTTACTTAATGTGGTGATTCATATTTTCTTTTTGTTCAGTTTTGTGTTTTGCAGTTTCTTTAAAGCCATTGTCTGGGAAGAAAAATGAGAGGGGAAAAGTACAAGTTATTAATCTAATCATTTAATATTGTACTGCAACTCTTATCAGTGACAGCAGTGTAAGACAATGAATAGAGAAGATATGGATGTGTCTGAAAAGCTTATTGTGAGGACAGTAAAACTAAGAGTGGTAATTTCAGTTCATGAGACTTGGCAAATCAAAGTCCACAACTATATTTTCATCACGTGCCATTTTCTCTGTGAATTTTCAGGGAGTTTGATCTACCTATTTTCACAGAGGTTATCTGGATGTTGAATATAAGGTGAATGAAGTAAAACTTAGTATTTTATCTAGGTTTTTAATACCACTTTCAGATTGTGTCTGTACTTTTTTTAATGCTTGTCATGGTTTAACCCCAGTGAGACACCAAGCCTCACATAGCCACTTGCTCACTGCCCCACTAGCAGGATAGGGGAGAGGATTGGAAGGGTGAGAGCTAGAAAACTCATGGGTTGACATAGACAGTTAAGCAAAAGCCACACACCCAAGAAAAACAAAAGAAGGAATCATTTCACTGCTTCCCGTGGGCAGACAGGTGTTCACACCTCCAGGACAGCAGGGCTCCATCACAAGTAACAGTTACTTGGGAAGACAAACACCATCACTCCAGATCTCCCCCTTTCCTCCTTCTTCCTCCCACTTCATATACTGAGCATGATGTCATATGGTATGGAATATCCCTTTGGTCAGTTTGGGTCACCTGTCCCAGCTGTGTCTCCTCCCAGTCTCCCATGCACCCCTAACATCCTCACCAGTGTGGCAGTATGGGAAGCAGAAGAGGCCTTGGCTCTGTGTAAGCAACTGCTCAGCGATAACAAAAACATCTCTGTGTCATCAATCCTGTGTTCAGCACCAAGCCAAAACATAGCCCCATACTAGCCACTGTGGAGAAAGTTAATTCTACCCCAGACCAAACCAGCACAATGTTATATGTGTTTTAAAGGACTTTTTTCCTTCCTCATTAGTAATGTGTGGGCACTTATTTCTGTGTTTCTTTCTTCTCAGAAGAGAATAGCATCCTGCAAACCGTGTCTGCTAGGTGGGTTAAGGTACAAATTTCACAAATGTGACAGTGCTAATTGTTCTTTTTCACTTGTTACTAGAGGTCATCTTTTTTCTTCCCCCCAGTTCTCACACCATCTTCCTGCACTGTTGGTAGAAGAAAAAAGGATAGCTATTAGTAATTGTGTTAAACTACTTGGAGTCATCTTAAAGGGAAGCTACTGTCACAATTATTTTGGAATTTTTGATCACATGTAGTAGAAGCTGTAATGCTTTTTTTTTTTTGTACATCTCTGAAGGCAAACAGCATACAGTAAAGAAAAAAAATTAGATTCCCCATTTCTTTTTATTTGCAAATAAGTTGGGAAGAAAATGTCAAAAGTAAACATGGTAACTAAAACTTTGATTTCTGTACTCTTACTTTTTTGTTGGTATAGGTCATTATCCTGTACTGTTATGGTAAGCACAATATTATTTTTAAAAACCCACACAAACCAACCCAAAACCACCTTGAAATGCTTGCTTTAAACCTGTTACTATACTGTGGTATGTGCACATAGAGTTAAATTGCTTCACTTTATCTTGACATATTTAACATTGTGAAATTTGGCACAATTAATGCTGATTTTTTTCAAGGATTTATTTATCTCTTTATGGTAACATGCTTCTGTAATGCAGTATTTTAAGAAATCTTTACAAATAGTTCATTAAAGGCTCTATGACGTTCCTTGACTTTACTTGTATTTCTTCCAAACTTCCCTATGAGTAATACCTTACAGTGGAGAATATAACCATTTTATCTAACACTGATGAGGTTAAAGGAAGAAATATTAAAACCCTGTCTTTTGAGAGGTGGCTCTTCCTCATTCATTGAATGCTGATCTGTGATGAAGTGTCTGCTGGGCAATTAAGGAGGCATGGAGAGGAGAACCAGCCTTCTTGCTTTTTGAGCATAAAGAATAAGCAAATATATTAAGTGCTGATAATGCTTCTTACTAAGGGGTGGTTTAATGTGGGGGTTGCCTTGGGATACTTAAAATATTTGAAATAGTTATTAACTAGCAGAGTTCTTATTTCTTTAACTCATAATTGCAGGATCTTTTGCGGAGTTCTTTCTTTCCTTGTGAGATTCATGTGTATTTGTAGCATGCTAAATCAATCTCTAGGGGGGTTTTTACCCAAGAAAATGTGATTTGCAAGTGAAAAATTTAAGTGCTATTCCATGTAGTTTCTCAGCTATGACATTTGCATGTTTCTATTTGTTCATTTTGTCTTGCATTTTATTATAGAATCATTCCTTCTTATCCCTGTAATGTGCCCTTTGTTCAGACAAGAACTCTGTTAAATGTAAACTTATTAAAAGTCTTGTGTTTGACTTTCATTAAGCAAAGGATCTGGAAACAAATGTGACTATTGTTTATCCACTTTTTATATCTTTCAGTTCTTCAGGCTGTTTTCTTAAATAAGCAAATAGTTAGTATTTACAGTAGAGAGAATGCTCTCTGTAGAATGATCCAAAACTAACCACAGTATTTAATATGCCTAGCTTCCCACACTATTTGGCATCACATGTAATTGGTTGCCCCTTCCACAAGCTGCAGCACCATCAAACACCAGAAGACAACTTGAAATTATTTTCATTCAGGTTAGATTTAATGATTCTGGTCTTCCTTTCTCTTTAATTTTTCCCAGCATAACATTGGATATATGGTTTCCTAATGAGAGAACACTCTTCTGATGAATGCATGCAATTACTGCTATTAGTGTTACACCAATTTTGATTTTTCAGACAGAATTGGAGGAGAAGCCTAATTTTGCAAGTCTGGAGAAAAAAGTTATTTTCAAACAATCTGGAACTACGGTTTTCTACATTTTTACATGTAGCACTAGAGCAGCATTGGTGTTGCACAGTACCACCTTCTTGCTTGCTTGACCAGCAGAGTTTGGATGGTTAAAGGAAAAAATCTTCAGGTTGATAAGCTATCTTGGTTAATAAAAGATCATTCTAAGACACAAATGCGCCAGTGTTGGAACCTGTGCTCTGAACTTCTGTGTTTCTCTTGCTTATCCTTGCACCTTATACGTGGATTCATTTATTGATGGGGTTTCCCTTGCTGTTCTTTGGTTTCAGATGCGAGTGTCTTTCTGGTTTATGTGGTTTCCCCATGTGCGAGGCAGGCTCCGTTCCCCAGATAGTCTCACGTGGAGATGGAACACCTGGCAAGTGCTGCGATGTCTTTGAATGTGTCAATGGTACGTGAAACTTTCTTTTGCACCTGGAGAGGAGGATTTTGTCTTTCTCTGGGAGATGCTGGGCATTTGGTTATTTGCATTATGTTGTCAAGATCTAAGAGAAATAATTTTCTTGAGATTCATTCAGTAAGAAGGAACTGGAAGTTTAGGTGAAGGTACTGAAGTGGGAAACTGTGTCATTTGTAAGTTGTTGTGTTTCTTTAATTTCTAAAGCACTTTTCCCTGTGACTCATGGAATTACAGTTTTAGCAAGACTCCCTCACTGCATGCTTTTCAGGTAGTCCTTCACCAGTAGCAAACACTAGAGTCCTTCTAGGTGTGAAATTTTTACTAACTGCTGCAACTGCTTGTTGCAGCATGGTAGGCAAAAGCAAGCTGTTCAGATTATGGGGATTGCTTTAAGAATCACTTGCAAAGTGATTTTTAACACAAGTGTATAACCTTTAGAAATTTGTATTCTCATTCTTTGCTCCCCAATCTGAATATTTAGATGTTTAAAAACCTTGAATGTGTTATGCAATTGACTATATCTCAGGACTGTTCTGTTATACGTGTCGAACTGTATATATGCTATATATGGTGAGTTGCTAAGAAACTTGATATTTGACTATTAGACTGACTGGTTTTATGCTCAGATAATTTCTGAGCATCAAAAAACACAACTTGGTGCAATATTTAGTCATTAATATTTACTCAGCAATACTTGTTTTTGTTTAGTGGTGTGTGTATCATGTGTGAAACAGCCTCTGTTTTGTAATTGTCATGCCATATGCACATAACCATACAAACAGAGAGAGATTTCCCCAGGAGAATGTTTGTCATGTTTACAGATGGCAATATTTTAAATAATCAAATGCTGATTCAAAAATAATAACACATATAATGGGATACATACGAAAATTAAGTTCCATCAATTGAATAAAAATTTGCATCAGGAAGAGTCACAGATCCTTTAGCTTTCAAACTATTTCACTATTTGGATTAAGATCGTATAAATGCAATTTAACTAATTTTTGTTTATGTACTGCCTGTTATACTGAAGTAGTATTCATCTGCCTTTGTTTCATATTCATTTCTTTCTGTTAAAGTATCATTTCTGAATATGATTTAATTGCGTGACACACCTCAATGCAATGTTTGATTCCGGATTTGCTTTAGTAGTTTGAGCAAGAAAAGCAAAGCCAATTTCTGATACAATGTCTCTGCTGGTGTGAAGCAGTCTCAAAGCTACAAACTACCTTCTAACTGTTTCTCTTTAGTCTGTATGCTATTGATGGGTTCTGTTATCAAAATTGTTGCAGTATGTATCACAGCAGGTGTGAGATGGAGCTGTTTAAATTGCCCATTTCTTTGTCCTTAGTCATCTTTATATCCTATTTCCAAGAAGGGTTACATTCATTTTTCATTGATAACAGTGAATTTGGACTTTGTTAGCACCATTGCCCTGTGCATCTTTGCCTTTCTGTGCACTCTAACTTAGTCCAAAGATTCAAGCTGCTTTTGGGTCAGGATTCCTTTTAGCCTCTCAGGCTTTCCCATTCCTAATCTTCACCTTAGTAGCCTATTGGAGAGCAAATTGGAAGAAAAAATAGGA